TACACAGATATAAAAAAATAACATGTACAGCTTTTAAGTATAGAAAATTAGGAACCCAGCCGATTCTGCTACCTTGGTTTCAACTTTTCGGTATCTCCAGGTGATTTCGGTCAATTGATTTCCTAACGCTTTATTTTTTAAAAATCAAAAATTTATAAACACTATATTTTTTAAAAAATAAATGAATGAATAAGCACACAATGTGAGGTGTGGTAGAAGGTGAAGAGGAGGGAAAATCAAGTGTATTGGAAATGTATTGGTAGGGGATTAAATGAAATGCATACATTCTTTTTATCCTACTTCAAATGAACTCAAAAGGAACTTGTTAGTATGTATACAACAAGCCATGGTTCAGATTTTTTTAGCTTGGAAATGTTATTATAACTACTTTCTCTTGTTGACAAAGGTTGCAAATATTATGATTGTTGTAAGGTTTTGCTCTTTTTTTTTTTAAATTTTACAAATCGAACCTTTTTTATTTTTCTCTTTTAATTTCCACACGTGGTTGGCTAGTTTAGTAGAATTTCTATGGCTTTCTATCTTAAAAGATGACTTATGATTGATATAGCATTCATAAATGTTTTATTTTTTAAAAATAAAGTGTTAGGAAATCAATTGACTAAAACTGCCTGATGATTCCGAAAGGTTGAAATGAAAGTAGTAAAATTAGCTGCTTTCCTAATTTTATATATTATATATATATACACACACACACTAATGAACATCCTCATAAACACTTACATACATCCATACACAAACATAAAAACAATTTAAATACTAATATACACATCAAACATGTAATGTCAAATTTAATAATTTTTAATTTTTCAATCAGCACCTGACGATTACATTTTGCATGAAACTTCGAGTTGTACTACCAGTGAGGAAGAAAATTTATAAATAAAAAAAAAAAACATTAATCAATCGACATGTTACAGTTTAAAAAGACGTAACCTACCATGACACTTTTAGTGTATGTGTGTGTAAAAGTTAAAAAATTTAAACAAAAAAACTTTCAAAAAAAAATTTTCTGAGCCCAGAAGTTATAGCATTGTCAAATAGATTCACTTTATTTATTACTTAAATAAAATTTGAGTATTAAAAAAATTTCCTATTTATTTTTCTGACTGTTGAAAATAACATGGTCAAGGATTGGCCACCTTGTTGATTATAAATATTTCTACCAAAAGAGAGGAGACCAGTTTCAAAAAAAGTCTTTACCAAGCCCATTACACTGACACTTTATAAGTAGTTAGCTTCTAGAGAAAATATATTGCTTTTTCTCCTACAGTGAATAAATATACCAAGTGACTCAACAGTAAATAGCAGGAACACCATACTAAGCAGACATTAAAGCCTGTTTGGTATCTAAATGTATATGCAAAATATACACTCAAATAAGCAAATAGATTTTAAGTTTAGACAATTTGGATGAGCAAGTCATGTGGTAAAGATGTTGATTTTTTTTTTTTTTTTTTTAAATCAACTTAACTCAGATTTCAGGATTAACAAGAAGTTGTTCATACTTGGAAAATCCATACCAGGAATCTGGAACAGATACTTACTTTTTTGCAGTATTATAATTTCTATAAACTGGAGTTCTGAGTTCATTTTGTTTAGGTGCCTACATTAATTTTTTTTAAAATTGCTCTAATTGAAGAACTTGCACATTTTCATCCAATCTAAAAGAGCAATTCTATAAATAAAAAATAAATAAAGTTTAATATACTACAAATGAAAAAAAGATATTAAGCAAAAGTTTTATTCTAGAAAATAATCAATAATATTGCTTCCTATATTTCTATATAGAAAACTGAAAAAAAAACTCCAGATATTAAAAAAAAATGAAATCAAAAATAAATTTAAAATGTAAAAGAAAATTTAAATTAAAAAAAAATTAAAATTAAACAAATTTTAATTTGAAAAAAGTAAAATTAAAATAGAAAAAAAATTAAAATCTTAAAAAAGCTTTAATGTCTAGAATATTCCTTAACACTTCTGATGTTGTGGGCATACTTACATATCTTTACAAAACTGCTTTGTCTGCTTTCAGGATATATATTTTTAGGGCACCATGAAATGTTTGTGCCTAGTGTTTGCATTATAAACTAACTCATAAGCCAACTGGCAAACTCAAGGCCAGTCTAGATATAAAATCTCTTTACACTAACATTCCAGTTGAAAAATGCCTCAATGTCTTTTAAAAAAAAGCATCAAACACAATCAAAGGAAAAGCTCTCCCTATCAAAAGCTAAAATAATTAAAATCTGCCATCACATCACCAATCAATGCTATTTCACATTTAATGATGATTTCTACAATAAAAAATTTGGATTACCAATGGGATTGACTCTTAGTGAAGTGATGGCATGTATCTTAGAATTTCACAAATCTAGTCCTTTTCAAAATATTTTACCCAAACAATCAACATACTTCCAATATACTGATGATGCTCTATTAATATATCCTCGTGATACTGATTTAACTGACCTAGTAGATAAACCAAACAAAGTTGTCCAACATACAATAGGATACAATTCCTTACTTTTCCTCAATATCAAGCTACACCACATTAACTGCAGTTTAAAACTTGGTGTCTACCGGAAATCAACCAACAAAAACAATCTAAGAAATTTCTATTCTCACCATAACAAAATAAAATCTGATATGGTCCTTGGATTGTACTTAAGAGCACTCAGAGTTTGCAGCTCTCAATATTTACATGAAGTGAGAAAATGCATTGAAAACACTTTCAAGTTACTTTTGTACCCTAATTATTTTATATTCAATGCAAAACAAAAGGCTCATAAAATATTCAAAAATAGAAAAATGGACCCTCCTGACAAACCCAATGAATCAAAAAATATAGTCTTACCAACTTAATCACATCTACAATTGGAAAGAATCTATTTAAACTCAACATAAAATTTGTTACTACTACATCTAAAATGATAAAAGATTTTGTCAATACTAAACAAAACAATAAGCTAAAATTTGAAGCAGGAATTTACTTAATCATCGGTAATAGTTGTCACAAAAAATACATAGGACTACATACCTCAAGGAATCTAAATAAAGATTATAAGAATACAAAAGAGATGTTTTACAAAACAATACATCAAATGCATTAGTTGTCCACTGTAATGAGACTGACCACAATTTTGACATAAAAATTTCTATTCTGATCAAAGGAGAAAACAATTCACTACAATGTCTAGAAAATGTCTAGAGTGTGCTTTGATCACAAGGTCATCTACAGTAAATTTGTGTCCAGGCTCTTACATTTCACCATTTCTGGCAGAACTTCTATTAACATAGGGTGGGATATCTACTAACAAAATAAAGTGATGGAAAGAAAAAGAAAAAGAATCTAAATGAAATCGGCAAGATTAAAAAAAAAAATTAAAAAATTAAAAATTCCCAGTATCCCTCATTTGTGTGCATGTGGAGTCACACCAATATAATAAATTTAGTCCAATGTAGTCCTAAAGTGTGAAACATGTCACAAGAAAACTTTCTCCACTTTGTCATACATTTTTCCCTAATATTGTTCCTGATATATAAAAATATATATCATTATAGACAAACTAGCACTTGGTGCTATTTCCAAACTAGCACAGACATATAGTTGCATACAATACAACCTGTTTTATGGCATACTTTTATTGTGTGTTGGAGTGCCATTTAGCTTAGTCTGTACTGAAATCAAAGCCAAAATGGCGGCACACATGAGAAATTACCCTCAGCATCTTTCAGTAAATGGCAATGTTGTATTTTTCCCCAAGATAGACCAATGTAGCCATATAATAATGTTTTTACAATGCAGCAATGAAAGTGTTAATATTTAGATAAATTTTCGCAGATTTTCATCAAGATATCCAAATTACTTATTGCCAGAAGTTCATCCAGCATGAGATTCAAATTGGATTTGATGAATTACCAATCAAAATTTACAGACTTCATCAACCCTACACCAGAGCTTAAAACAATAAATCTTCAGATTTCCAGTCAGTGATCTATCCAATAAGTTATTCCTCAGACTTAGATTCTTTCAATGGAAAGAAATTCATATGATGACGATGAACCAAAGAGTAGGCGTAGAAGATATTTCTCCTGCAAGATTAACGGACGCAATAACAGTGTACCAGATTTCCTCTTCAAAGATTTCAAGATAAGCATGCTTGTGGGTTGTTAATAGAAAGATGGTAGGAAGAGGTTTTTATAATGGCATAATTAATTCAAGTTCACTGGTGTATATAGGAGTAAAAACAAGTAATGAGAATAAAAACCAAGTGCTAAGTAATAAAACCTTAATTATAACAACTATTACATTTGATTAAAGGAAAAGACAAATTTGTTCAACAATTATTGCATTTTGAATATGGTCTATGCTGACATAAGTGCACAACAGGCAAAATCAAATACAATAAAAATTAAATTCTTTGACAAAGTGAAACAATGAGCCTCATTAAAGCTACACTCGTTTGCTATTTCTAAGTAAAACAATTGTTTTTCAGGTTTCTTTTTTTAAATACAGCTGATGACTTGAAAGTTTAATACACAGGTTTGTTACATATAATACAGAAAAGAACAAAAACTCCACCAACAAATAGTGCACAAGTGGAATTATCATTACTCAAATGGTATAAATATCAATTTAAGCACAAATGAGGGAAAATTATTACTTTTAATAGCAGTGAATAAATTTGATTGATTGATTGGTTGGTTGGTTTTCTATGGGGTTTATCAACCCTTTGTAGGTTATTTAAAGCCAGAAAATATTTTTCGATTTGAAGATTTTTTTTTTTTTAAAATAATGGTTTAATGATACAAGTCTAACTAATTAACTCATAACTGGGATGGAGAGAATAGGTGGATTCATACTTTTCCCAAGAGTATTTGAGCATAAGTGAATATAATGAACCCAAAGGGAATTAGAACTCAGCTGTCAAATTAACAATTTTGAGCCATTATCTACTACACCACCCACACATCCAAACTTACATCACCAGGTATTCCCAAGTGGTCACCCATCTAGGTACTGATGAGGCTCAACATTGCTTAACTTCAGTGATCATATAGGAGCCAGTGTTTAAACGTGATGTGGCCATAAGCCATAAAAAATTTGAATGACTGTTCAAATTATTTCCTTAAAAGTTTAAAGCCGAGGTGCAAGCGGAGACACTCAATAGTAAACCAGGTGCAAGAGAAACACTTGATAGGAGTTTAAGTACAAGGGAAACGTTTGATAGTAGGCTTGGTTCAAGCGGAACAGTCAATAGTAGGCTTGGTTCAAGACAATCAATAGTAGGCTAGGTTCAAATGGGACAATTGATAATAGTCTTTATAAATAAACTAGATTTGTCAACTTCACATAAAACCTCAGATATATTTTTTAGTCATTTTATTTTAAGTTGGGGAAGACTTGAATGCCATCAAATAAGGTATTTCAGATTAAGTGATATAAAAAAAAAAATCTCACATAACTCAGCTACAATGACTTGATTAAACTTCAACTCAATGAAATCTATTGTCATTCTCACAATGCAACTAAAGAGAAAACACAAAATACTTCTGTAAATAATTATATATTTATAAGTGATTTCCCATGATAAATGTATTTGTAAACATTCTTCTTCTATTTGCCATGTTCCTTCAGGATGTAGGTGATCATGGCTCTCCACAATTGGCTCTCCTTTGTAATCCTTAGTAAATTTTGTCTTTTTGCTATCTCTCTTAATCCCTGTTCTGCCAACAATTTACTCAAGCTAGTTAGCTAGATGGTATGCTGTGTTTCTCTGTCTCTCTTGCCTTCAATGTCCCGTGAGTGTTAAATTTTCCAAGCCCCCTTTCCTCATTATGTGCACTAGAAATTTTAACTCTTTCTGATGAAAGTGTCTATAAGTGTCTTTTTTGTTACAATTTTCTCTAAAAACATTGTCATTGCTCACTAATATTAGTTGTTAGAAATTGTGTATGTGTTTGTTTTCATACTGTAAATTTACTCTTGGGTGACAAAATAAACACTTGGCCCCTTGCTTGTTAATTTTAGTATTTTTTTTCACTGCTCTCATTGCACCCCACCTCAATATTAATTTTTGATAATCCACAAACATCCTACTCAATAGATTGCTGGAAAATTTTGTTTTGAAATTTACTGTGTTGGAAAAACATTTTAAACTTTCTTTTCATGAAATATATTTAAACTATAAACTCTATAAAGCATTTTTACTAAGAGATATTGATGAACATTCATTTTTAATTTTATTACTTCAAAGTCTTGTTATAGTTTGAAATACTTGCTTTTAATAATCTTCCAACCACCCCATTTATTGAAATTTTTCAGATTTCCATTTTTTCTAAACCCCTTTTGCTTATCAAAAAATTGATTTTTTTTTCCAATACTCTACCATTTATTATGGCCTCTGCTCCTATTTAGTACTCAAGTACTGAATCAGTCAGAGATAAAAGAGACACAGAAAGAGAAAAAAATGAAAATATCACAATTTAATTTGAAATCTTTTATATACTGAAAATCTGTGTGAGGCCATTAGTTTTAATTATATAAGTAATGAAAAATTTAGCTTTTAAGAAAAAAAACTTACTTCTTATAATAATGATAATGTTTAAGTATTTTAACAAATAGTACAGGAAATTTTCAGAGTTTTTTTTTTTGTTTGAAGTATTGCATGCAAAGCTCATACTTCAAATGGTCAATCAACTATTCACAAAAATTTAAGTCCAGATCTTTTTCAAATATTCTTATCTGTAAAATAATATTGAAGAAAACAAAAGGTCATTAATCTTAGCTAACTGCTGCTTAAATAAAATATATTTTAGAAATTGAAACATTATATAGAATAAAAGCATAAGGTGAACTGTGAAAACTAAATATTTGTAGCCAATCAACTTTATCTGATTAAATTATATCTCAATATAGAAAAATCTCCAAGCATGAAATTTACCCAAATTAACAAAAATTAATTGCATCTAAATACACTTCTTTAGACCAATGCCTAATCCACTGAAGCTGTTTATCAACAAAAAGGATTAAGTATAATAGCATAACAGTTTATATCTAAAAGCAGTCTATTACATATAAGTATTTAAAGTCATGTTAGTAATTTACTGCTCTATTGAAGACTGACATTTAAGATGTTTTAGAGAAAACTGATCTTTTTTTTTCCATTTGTTAAAATTGTCTGAAACAATAGAAATAATACAAAATAGCAACTCTAAGAAATATTTTGAGTGATGACTTAAGTCAAAAGAAATATCTTAGTAAGCGTTTAGCAATTTGAAGAATTTCAAATAAATAAATTGGAATTCTTTTTATTTTTTTAAATCCGTATCACTCCATGCAAGGCAGTAAAGCCACTAAGACACAGGGGGATTACAGGGTGTGGAAGAATTAGGAATAGAAACATTAATAATGAGCAGAAAGAGAAAAAAGTAATCAGGAGGACAGTAGATAGTGATTGACATTGCATTTAAATTTTTGAAGATTAAAGATGGCTGGAAATCATGGAGCCAGAAGGGAGTTCCACAAGCAAAATGTCTGAGAAAACCAACTGTTGGCATAGAACTTATGGCTATATCTAGCAAGCTCAACTGGAAATTGATGAGATCTTCATGCCAGTCTAGTACTACACATAAATTCAAAAAAGTCTAGATACCATAGTGAAGAGCTCATCCAAATAATTATCATGAAAGTATTTATAGAAAAGACAGAGAGAGGCAACCTTACAACAGTGGGAAAGTGACTGAAGCCATGGTTTAAAATTAAAATTTAGTGTTTATAAAGTTTAGTCAGCCAGTACCATACATGATACATGCTTGGGTGGTCAAGTCTCTTTCAATTCATGACTAACTAGGCAGAAGATTTTCCTGCAGTAGGTTGCTGTTTCTTTATGTGGTAGACTGATTGCCAACCAAAGCTACAGAATCTAGTTTACCCTGCTATTCAACCCACAGCTGGGAGGAGAAGAGATGAATTCCTGCCTTTCCCAAGGGCATTTATGCACAAGTAAATGTAATGAACCCAACTGGAATTTAAACTCAGCTTTCTGATTTCTCATTCTGAGCTTATATTCATTATACCACAACACACATCTTGCGTCATATAATACTATCCATTAATGAGCACACACTCACATTTTTGTTAATTTTCACCTAAACCAAATATGCCAAGATTTTAATATTAATAGTGAAACATTACACAATAAATACAAATATAAGTTGTCCTTAGCATGTTGCTGGACTTCAATCCAATTGAACAATTGTGGATTTTATTTTTTTATTTTTTGGATGATTGATTCATTTTTATGGCTTATCAACCTTTTTCAGGTTATTTAAAGCCAGATTAAAAGATTTTTTTGGATATAATAATGATTTAACTGATACAAGTCCTACTAATTAACCCATAGCTGGGGGAGGAGAAGTGGAGTCATACATTTCCCAAGGGCATTTGTGCATAATTTAATATAATAAACACAACTGGAATTGGAAGTTGGCTCTCCAATTTCCAGTTCTGAGCCATTATCCATTACACCACTTGCATATCCAAGCTTACAGCACCTGGTATTCTCAAGCAGTCACCCATCTAGATACTAAACTTGGCTTAATATTGCTTAACTTTGGTGATTGTATGAGAATCAATGTTTCAACATGATATAGCTGTAAGCCAAAAACTTGTGGAATGTATCAAAATGAAAGAGGAGAAAAAGCAAAATTGCTGAGCACAAGATTTGAAAATTGAAGTGTTGCAAAGAGAAAATATTCCACTGATTGCACTAATCAATGTCATCAAAACTATACACAATAACAAAGAAAAAAAAATTAATGGTTACACCAAATAGTGATATGAAATAGTGTTTTTCTTTTTTTATAGTAAGTGTACTCATGTTTAGTTAGAAACATATTCAGTGGAAACAAGGCAAATAAGTGAGCAGTATGAAAAAGGACAAGATATCCCTAAATCTGGATGGCAAAATGAGAACAATCTATCCACATAAATAAAGGATTCAATCATAACTGCTGTTATAACGGTTTCTTTTCTCACACTTCTCAACTGTGGAACCCTCGTCTGCTTTCTAGCTTCCCTCCCACCTACAATCTTCAAAAATTTAAACGCAATGGCAATTGCCATCTTTCTACATCCTGTTCTTTTATTGTCTTTTTGTTTTCCTCACTCAAGTTTCTCATTCACTGTCAGTTCTAGTAACCTCTTGCCTTTTAGTGGCATTATTGTCTTGCTTGTCTTGAAATGATTAAAAATAAAAAACAAATGGTTTGAAATTTCCTAAAGGTTACTCTGATCGAGAGACACCTGAAGGAGGCCAGATGGTACAAAGGCTGAAATGTTGTGATAACTTCAACAAAGATGAGGATATTCATCTGACTGTTAATAAAATAAATAATCGTAAGTTTCCAGTCTGTTATCATTGAATCTCAGGTTTCATTCAATGGTCAAAATCCCTAAATGCAGATATTACCATGTAAAAATATAATTCTATAACAAGTCACCAATATTAATGACAAGATAATGCATCATAAGGATTTAGAGGATAATCATTAAGTCTGTCAGCAATTACACCATATTTTTAATTGAATATTTTTATTTTTTATATATACATATATAGGTTATCTCATAATAAATTATTTTTGTCCAACAATGTGATTGGCAAATTTAATTTAAACAAAATGTTATTTTTTATCAAATTATCTGAAATGAAAAAATTGTCATACATTAAATATAGGTTCTTATTTAATTAAGTATGCGTAGGTTGCGTCAAAGGTTGTCCAGTTTCACACAGGTTATAATGCCTGGGGTTGTTTTTGAAGTAATAATGAATAAAAATACTAAATTAGTCAATATGTTAAACAACTCAGCAAGTTTCAAGTTTTTATAACTGCTGGAAATATTTTTATCAAGCTGATAACAATTTTATGCTTATAAACTGTTAATTATACAAATCCTTATGCGACAAAATAATGATTTCACCTTAGTAAGACAAAAAGAATAATTATAGCTGATAAAAATAAATAAAGGTTGGGTAGTATTTATTTATGCAAAACTATTATTGAAAGAAAAACTCTTATTTTAACAAATA